GTCATGGACCATGTTTCATGTACCAGACGAGATTCATCGGGTGACTGCCCGACTGGAGTACACGCAGTAGAGCATGGTCATGGACCATGTTTCATGTACCATGGTCATAAGTATGTGCCCATGCCTGCCGAGTCGAGCCTCTCATGCTAGACCCGATTCAAACCATGGGAGCAAAACAAAGCATAAACAAGTTACGTACATGCATGGTAAATGCTGTTGGATTAAGTGTCTGCAAAGTGAAATTCCAGCGGAACCCCTTTTTATTGGGTATCTCGTTGCCATAGGATAGAGTAAGGAGGTTCGTGCTGTATTTGGTGGTGAAGTGTATATGAGAATCGCTGTACCGAACCGGCACCCATGTGTACACGCTTACATATTCAATACGGTATCAATAGCACCCCCCGATAAAATATCTAGGTCACCGGGCTTATTAGCACGGGTCGTTATGACCTAAGTTGACGTCTGACAGTGACGAGAAAGGGAAGGGAGTTATGAGACGTCTCGTCGCCTTCCATGTTTTCCAACGCATGCAGTCGAGTGGCACGCGTGGCTTTCATGAGTCTGGCTCAGGAAAAAAGACCAATCCGATCGCTCCCCTCAGCCTGCGCTAGGAGTGCTTTAAGGTTCATGGGTCTGATTGACCCTCGTGTGGGCTACCAAACGTGCCCAAAGAGCAAGCGTGAGAGAGGAGGAGAAAGGCGGTGAGTGGCCGGTTTGGGGTGCGACTATGCCCCGCCTATTGCGAGGCAGAAGCCTGCCTCGCCTATAGGGTGCCATTGGTGGGCTGGCCTAGTAGGACGTCCACGTCATGCCGACATCATCTGTTCTTTTTGGTTTTTAATTTTAAATATATTATAAATGCATATATATATTAGAAAAACATAAATTTACTTAGCAAATTAGAAAAATGAAAATGTTAACATAGTATAAAAAATTAGCGTAATTTAAAAAAAATGTTGATAACTTTAATAAAAATGTTTGTGACAATGAAAAAATGTGTCCACATTTCAAAAAAATATGCAATTTTTTTGAAAATTCTTTATACAATGTAATACAAAATATCAGCGGAGCATAATTTGTTTTTCATACCATTAAAAAATGTACATGAAATTTTATGGAAATATTCCTACATTAAATGTTGATGACATTGAAAAAGTTTCAAAAAAAATTATACAGTGTATATAAAATGTACAACTTGTATTTTTAAAAATGTTACCGTGTATCAAAAAAGTGTTTAGAAACATATATTTTAAACATATACATCATGTGTTTGAAGATGTCCAACATGCATCAAAAAAATGTTTCACGTGTGCTCTCAAAATGTACATTCTATATGTAGGGAAAAAGTAGATATGATTTAAAAAAAACATGATAGAACACAAAAAAAAAGCAAAACAACCAAAGAAAACAAAAAAAAAAGCAAAAAACAAAGTTTTCGACAGATGATGGATTTTATTGACTCAAAATGAAGCATCAAGTAGATATAAACACAATGAACACACACCCGACCTCTACATAGTTATGCACGAAACCAACACAAACACACAGAAAAAAAAACAAATATCACAAAGGAGGAAAGGAAAGCCGTGAAAACCCAGTGAGAAAACAGAGATAACCAAAGTAAAATGAAAAACAAACCGAAAGAAAACCGTGAAAAGACAAATAAAAACAACAAAAAAAGAAAACGAAAACGAAGGAAAGAAAGAAAAACCGGATGAAGCGAACTTACAGCCCAGTACGAGCGACAGCGAGACTACCATGCTAAATGGGCCAGCCCGTTAGTTGTGGCCCGTCTGGGTACTGGAAAGAAATCGGGCCAGCCTTTGTTTTGGATGCGGACCAAAAAAGACACGGGTCCGTACTAGCGGGCCGAGTTCCAGTAATGAAAATAGGAGCCTCGGAGAGGATAAACCACACGCGAAGATTGTCTAAAAAAAACACGAAGAGAATCGAAAGTCTCTCTCGATAAAAAACAAAAACAAAAAGGAAACAAGACGAAGAGGATCGAGGAGCCGTCGGCGAGAAAAAGACCTGGGAGCGGAATAATCCACTCCGATGGCGGCAGCGCTTCGTTCTGCGGCGAGGAAGATCTGCGGTCACGCCTTTGAGCGACCGCATGCGCTTCTCAGGACGGCCGCTTCAGCTGCCATCAAGGAGGAACAGTGGCGGCTGCTGGCAAGGATTGGCCATGGCCGAAGCTCACTTCGCCGGTTCACCTCCTCCGAGTCACCAAGTTTTCTTAATAATAAGAACAAGGTACGCACACGCTTTCCAGCGGCAGAGCTTTTTTTTAGGGAATTTTTGGGTAAAACAATACAAGCGTAGAACTTTGACCCGGAAGTCTCTGATCCCATCTTCCACTTCCACACTTGGAGCGTATCAGACTTTGATGACTCCTAGTGGCGAGGGAAGCGTCAGTTTTGCCCCTTGAGCGTCTCATTTACTCTCTAGCTCTCGGCTTTCTTCTCGCAGTCGAAGCGGTAGCGGTACTTGAGCGAGCTAATTCAGACCTTTTTTTTAATGTTGCGATCACATGGTTTTCGCAAATGTACGCGATTGAGATTCCAAGCAGGTGATTTCAATCGCCGCTATATGTCACTTCTGGATCCCCCTTTTTCGTGCTAATGCAAAATTGATGGATTTGGACAATATGGCATGAAATTAACAAAATCAGATCTAGGGCTGTATTCCCCCTTTTTCGTGTTGAGATCCAAATATCATACTATGCGGCAAAACGAAATTAGTACTCCGAGTATGTTAACTGGCTAACTATTTTTGGGAGTCATGATTCTTTTTATTCCTTTTCTCTACCTTTGTACTCTGCTAATTTGTTTCTTTCCATTATGGCTTTGCTGGCTATTCTTATAAGGAATGTTTATCAGTGCAAAACTGTCATTTATATTGTGTTGTACCTTGGAAATTTGGGGCCCAGAGTGAAAATAACAATTCAACCTGACTATAAAATTTTCCAAATTCTGAATGTATGAATGGAAGCAGAAATAGAAAATCCCGTGATTTATAAGATTATTTTATCCCCGTAATTTTTAGGTTGTAGATATAATTGTCTACTTTAACACTAAGCATAACTGCTTACTATAATTGATTATTTTATATTGATTAAAGTGCGTGCGGCAGGGTTGCAGATATTTTTCTCAAAAAGGAATGAATGGTCTTATGAAACACAATGCTTCTTCAAATCTTCTGGTTATGAGATGGTGAGTTATACGAATATATCATGCAATGAATTTATTTGTCCCTTTGTTGATTTCTCACTTATTTAAGGTGAAGGACTTTTCAAAATTGAGCTTTGATTGTAAATTTCTTGTACAATACCATTTAGATTTGTAAATCGCAACAATACCAAGTTCTTTTAAATTATGGAACAAAATCATAGCAATCTTTTATCATAAAATCCATTGCTTGAAATGTTCGACGTGATTGAACCCTATATTCGAAATGCATAATTTCGTTCATTGGAAAAATTTGAAAAAGTATGAACCAACTCAATACTAGTTCTTATACAATGTTCCATATTGGATACCCGTTAAACTTCTATATATTTATAATTTTAATAATTTGGCATGGTTTGCAAGTAATTATGCTATTTCAAAGTTTTTAATTTGGTTTATAAACTCAGTAACACCTAGTACAATATTGTTGAGATTTTTTTTGCAACACTTCTACCTCATAACTGAGGAATGTGCTCACATAGTTATGCAATAACTTTCCTTTTTCCCAGGTTATCAAGCGAGCGGTCATTGAAGTCGCGCTCGTGTAGCTTATTATCAGTCTCCGAAGACAAACCACCTACTTACTTTGTGTTTTCAAGATTTATTTGTTTGGCAATGATGTCCTTGTATATCTTAACACTTGGTCATGTGTCGATCCTCTACTATAAGTCAACCATGAGTGTCGTAGAGGATGACTAGTTTGCCACAGTGTACTTGAACTTGGATGTGTCAGAACTTGTGTTCCATTCAGCTTTTACCTTATCTAGTGCATTATGTCATCCATCCATGTAAGGTATGACTAATGCATAGCCTCATGGTGATGCCCCGTGTGCCATGTAGGATCGGAGGTCAGGGAAAGTAGGTTCGGATAGGGTAGCGGGATCCTCTGCAAGAGGCGGGTGCTTGGGAAGAAAAAGTGTGGTCCGATGTAAAAAGCTGAAAAAGTTGGAGTAAAGAGTAGAGATGCATATGTATTAAAGTTTCTATTTTCCATTACTTGATGATGCCCACTAGTGGTAGCTTGCATTGAGAAAAAATCAATGTAGTTGCCTCAGCTACTTTTTCTCATGAGGCATATGTATCCATATGCCACCATTGTACATGCCCCAACATGGAGGCAGCATCAAGATACTGCTACCATACATCCATATATATGTAGGAGAGCAAGGGCCATCGGTGGCACTAATTACGGTCCAACCCCACATATTGCCTGTCTCTTCATCCGTCAGAATTTTCTCTTCTCTTCCCAACTTGCTACTGAAGGAAATATGCCCTAGAGGCAATAATAAAGTTGTTATTTTATATTATCTTATATGATGATAAATGTTTATTACTCATGCTAAAATTGTATTAACTGGAAACTTGATACATGTGTGGATACATAGACAAAATACTGTGTCCCTAGTAAGCCTCTACTAGACTAGCTTGTTGATCAAAGATGGTTAAGTTTCCTAACCATATACATGTGTTGTCATTTGATGAACGGGATCACATCACTAGGAGAATGATGTGATAGACAAGACCCATTCGTTAGCTTAGCATTATGATCGTTCAGTTTTTTTGTTATTGTTTTTTTCATGTCAAATACATATTCCTTCGACTATGAGATTATGCAACTCCCGGATACCGGAGGAATGCCTTATGTGCTCTCAAACGTCACAACGTAACTAGATGATTATAAAGATGCTCTACAGGCATCTCCGAAGGTGTTTGTTGGGTTGGCATAGATCGAGATTAGGATTTGTCACTCCGAGTATCAGAGAGGTATCTCTGGGCCCTCTCGGTAATACACATCATAAGAAGCCTTGCAAGCAAAGTAACTAATGAGTTAGTTACAAGATGATGTATTATGGAACGAGTAAAGAGACTTGCCAGTAACAAGATTGAACTAGGTATGAAGATACCAACGATTGAATCTCGGGCAAGTAACATACCGATGACAAAGGGAATAACGTATGTTGTCATAACGGTTCGACCGATAAAGATCTTCGTAGAATATGTGGGAGCCAGTATGAGCATCCAGGTTCCGCTATTGGTTATTGACCAGAGAGGTGTCTCGGTCATGTCTACATAGTTCTCGAACCCATAGGGTCCGCACGCTTAACGTTCGATGACGATATTGTATTATATGAGTTATGTGATTCGGTGACCGAATGTTTTTCGGAGTACCGGATGAGATCACGGACATGACGAGGAGTCTCTAAATGGTCGAGAGGTAAAGATTGATATATAGGATGAAGGTATTCGGGCACCGGAAGTGTTCCGGAGGGTACCAGGTACATATCGGGTCACTGGAAGGGGTTTCGGGTACCCCCGGCAAAAGATATGGGCCTATTGGGCCAAGAGGGGAAACGCACCAGCCACAAGGGGCTCGTGCGGCCCCATATGGGTCGGCTAAAGAGGAGAAGGAAAGAGCGAAAGGGAAAAAGGAAAAATAGGAAGTACCACTTCCTTCTTCCCCCTTTCCTTCCCCCTCCGGCTATTTATGGAAGGGGGGCGCCACTTGGGAAAACCCCAAGTAGGATTCAGATCCTACTTGGGGCGCCCCATGGCCGCCCCCTCTCCCTCCAACCTATATATATGTGAGGGGGTGCCCTAGCACAACACAACATCAAATGTTAGCCGTGTGCGGTGCCCCCCTCCATAGTTTACACCCCCGGTCATATTCTCGTGGTGCTTAGGTGATGCCCTGTGCGGATCACTTCACTATCACCATCACCACACCGTCCTGTTGACGGAACTCATCTACTACCTTGACACCTTGCTGGATCAAGAAGGCAAGGGACGTCAAAGGGCTGAACGTGTACAGAACTCGAAGGTGTTGTACATTCGGTACTTGATCGGTCGGAGCTAGAAGAAGTTCGACTACATCAACCGCGTTGTCAAATGCTTCCGCTTACGGTCTACGAGGGTACGTAGACACACTCTCCCCCTCTCGTTGCTATGCATCTCCTAGATAGATCTTGCGTGAGCGTAGGATTTTTCTTGAAATTGCATGCTACATTCCCTAAAGTGGCATCCGAGCCAGGTCGATGCATATGCACGAGTAGAACACAATCGTTGTGTGCGGTGATCGTCATACATCTTACCACCAATGTCTTATTTTGATTCGGCGGTATTGTTGGATGAAGCGGCCCAGACCAACCTTACATGACCACGTTCATGAGACCGGTCCACCGATAGACATGCAACTAGTTTTGCAAAAAGGTGGCTGGCGGGTGTTTGTTTCTCCTACTTTAGTTGAATCGAATTTGACTGCGGCTGGTCCTTGTTGAAGGTTAAACAACAAACTTGATAAATCACCGTTGTGGTTTTTGTGCCATAGGTAAGATCGGTTATTGCTAGAAGCCTGTAGCAGACACGTAAAACTTGCAACAACAAAGTAGAGGACGTCTAACTTGTTTTTGCAAGGCATGTTGTGATGTGATATGGTCAAGATATGATGCGATATACATTATTGTATGAGATGATCATGTTTTGTAAAAGTTATCGGCAAGCAGTAGGAGCCTTATGGTTGTCTCTTTATTGTATGAAATGCAAACACTATGTAATTGCTTTACTTTGTCACCATGCGTTAGCGATTGTTGTAGAAGCAATTGTTGGCGAGACAACCACAACACAACAATGGAGATCAAGGTGTCGAGCCAGTGAAGATGGAGATCATGATGATGCTTTGGAGATGGATATCAAAAGCACAAGATGATGATGGCCATATCATGTCACATATTTTGATTACACGTGATGTTTATCTTTTATGCATCTTATTTTGCTTAGTAAGACGGTAGCATTATAAGATCATCCCTTAACTAAATTTCAAGGTATAAGTGTTCTCCCTGAGTATGCACCGTTGCGACAGTTCGTTGTGCTCAGACACCACGGGATGATCGGGTGTGATAGGCTCTACGTTCACATACAACGGGTGCAAGACAGTTTTGCAGATGCGGAATACTCGGGTTAAGCTTGACGAGCCTAGCATTTACAGACATGGACTCAGAACACTGGAGACAAAAAGGTCGAATGTGAATCATATAGTAGATATGATCAACATAGAGATGTTCACCATTGATGACTACTCCATCTCACGTGATGATCAGACATGGTTTAGTTGGTTTGGATCATGTTACACTTAGATGACTTGAGGGATGTCAGTTTAAGTGGGAATTCTTAAGTAATTTGATTAATTGAACTTTAATTTATCATGAACTTAGTCCTGATAGTATTTGCAAATTATGTTGTAGATCAGCAGCTCACGTTATAGCTCCCTTATGATTTTTTATATTTCCCTAGGGAAAACTAAGTTGAAAGATGATAGTAGCAATGATGCAGACTAGGTCCGTGATATGAGGATTATCCTCATTGTTGCACAGAAGAATTATGTCATTAATGCACCGCTAGGTAACAAACCTAATGCAGGAGTAGATGCAGACGTTATAAACGTTTGGCAAGCTTGATATGATGACTACTTGATAGTTTAGTGACCATGCTTTACGGCTTAGAACCGAGACTTCAAAAACCGTTTTGAACGCCACGGAGCATATGAGATGTTCCAAGAGCCGAAATTAGTATTTCAGACTCATGCCCGTGTCGAGAGGTATGAGACATCTAACAAGTACATTGCCTACAAGATGGAGGAGAATAGCTCAGCTATTGAGCATGTGCTCAGAATGTCTGGGTACTACAATCGCTTGAATCAAGTGGGAGTTAATCTTCTAGATAAGATAGTGATCGACAGAGTTCTCTAGTCACTATCACTAAGCTACTAGAACTTCGTGATGAACTATAATATGCAAGGGATGGCGAAAACAATTTTCAAGCTTTTCGTGATGCTGAAATCGGCGAAGGTAGAAATCAAGAAAGAGCATCAAGTGTTGATGGATAACAAGACCACTAGTTTCAAGAAAAAGGACAAGGGAAAGAAAGGGAACTTCAAGAAGAATGGAAAGCAAGTTGTCACTCCCGTGAAGAAGCCCAAAGCTGGACCTAAGCCTGAAACTGAGTGCTTCTACTGCAAAGGAAATGGTCACTGGAAGCGGAACTACCCCAAATATTTGGCAGATAAGAAGGATGGGAAAGTGAACAAAGGTATATTTGATACACATGTTATTGATGTGTACCTTACTAGTGCTCGTAGTAGCCCTTGCGTATTTGATACATGTTCGGTTGCTAAGATTAGTAACTCTAAACAGGATTTGTAGAATCAATGGAGACTAGTTGAGGGTGAAGTGATGATGTGTGTGGAAGTGGTTCCAAGAATGATATGATCATCATCACACACTCCCTATACTCTTGGGATTAGTGTTGAACCTAAATAAATGTTATTTGATGTTTGTGTTGAGCATTAACAAGATAGGATCGTGTTTATTGAAATATAGTTATTCATTTAAGACAAAGAATAATTATTGTTCTATTTATATGAATAGAACACTACAAAAAAAGATACATCTCTGACATTTTGGGCCAAACAATTTTTTTTCTGTCATACTTATGACACTTCTATGACGATAATTTTGACAAAACCTGGTATCATCATAGATGTGGTGGGCTCCTA